TTGTTTTACTGAAGTCAGTGGGAGTTTTACCACTTGTTTTCTTGGATCTGGACTGGTTCCATACTGGAGCTCCTGGAATAGTCCTCTCTCCTCCATGTGATCTCATCCTGCTCCCTGCGTGACAACAGGAATATTTTCACAAGGGGAAAGGAATGGAACAATTCTCTCCTGTGGGGACACCAATGAGAGACACTGACCAAAAGCCCGCACTCCCATAACGCATGAAAACCAGCCTCTTCAAAATTTTATGAAACAACAGTAGAGCAGAAATGAAAAAAGAAACTGCCAAAATAGGTAAAGCCTTATCAGAAAAAAAGAAAACAGACACAGTAATAGAAAACAACACAGCTGAATATTATGAGCACTGAGACAGCACATCGGTTTTCTTTTTTTTCTGTTTTTTGAACCAGCATGTTCTCCCCAAGGGGAGACGCACCATGCCCGGCAGTACTGCAATACCAGGTTGATGCATAGAGTTGATTTAGCAAGCTCCTATTCCATCTCCCTGTTCCAAAAATCCATTTAATATAAAGTTCTCACATCGAGAACATATCAGATATTAAACTGATAAGAACAGATATAACTTAGAGAATATTTTTTTCACTTCAAGGTTTCAGAAACACAGACAACGTTTTCATCTCAAATTTTAAAATTTTATTAAGATGATGTTAAAAAAAATTTGTGAACGGAGTTTGAGCATAGAAGTTTCTGGTTATCAGGGAATAACATACAGATTATCGAGGGTGCAAAGTTTGGTTTAATATAAGGTGGCATGAGGAATACATAATCTGCAATATCCCCGATTGGGAGTAAAAGGTTGATGGGTCAAAGTACAGGCATTGAGATATGAGGGTATGAAGTTCATAAAGTGGCTATGTTCGGGTGTGGATAATAATGAGTGGATATGATGATGAGGATGGATTGACCCTCATTTGGTGAGATTTAATGTTCAGGGAGTTTATGGTTCCAGTTCATATAATCCAATGGAGAAGGTCACTTGGTCCCTTTCTCGTAGTGGGAGAATGATGTCACTCTGGCTCACGCCTGCTGGTACTGTCGGTGGCCGGTGATGTGCTCACTGTAGATGTCCCTGGACCATCGGATGGCGTCTGAGACCATGAGGCGCCGCATGAGACGTGCGTAGTGTCGACCGATCCCGCAGGTCCGCACCACACGCTCGTTGCAGGGGTCCCAGGCGTCCAGGGCTCCGACAATCAGGGCATCCATCTGCACCTCATAGCCCTTCGCTCTCAGAGTGTCAGCCGGAGGGCGTACTTTTCTAGCTTACGAGCTCGGGCTTCGCAAAATGCCGGAGTCCTGTTCTCAAAGGAGACCGTGACGTCGATGAGGATGATCTTTTTCTGGGCGAGGGACAAGAGTCAAAAAGGCCTGTCTCTGGGGGGCGCTGGCCCTGATCCGGGCCCAGGGCAGGGACTGGCTGGCTTGGGGAGGCAGAGGGGGGAGCTGGAGTGTGGGCACGTGAAGGAAATCAACCGAGTGTGTGTGTGTGTGTGTGTGTGTGTGTGTGTGTGTGTGTGTGTGTGTGTGTGTCGTC